CATCCATCTCTTTTCTTTACCATCTTCTTCCTTTTTGGGGCCTATCTACACAAGTAAGGGTCTTAGCAGTACATAGGGGGAGTTTCTTGTTGTGCTGGCAGAGTTTGTYGTAACTGTTATTGGTGAAGTATTTGGTGTGGGCGAAGCTTGGCAAAACCGTGATCGGTCAGATTGACTTGTCTTGTGGGGCAATTTCAAAAAGGAAGTAATGATAAGCAGCTGCCTTTTTACATCAGACAGGATGACTCACTTCCTTTTTTCAAATCTGCTCTTGAAACACATTTTTATCTCCTTGGCTTTTAACTTAGTTTGAGATGCTGGTTTTAATGTTTTTACTTCTGTTGTTTTTATGATATTACTGGCTCATTTTACTTAGTTTATTGTTTTTATGTGTTTTTAATAATGTACATCACTTTGGCCAACAGCGTTATTTTTAAAGTGCTTTATAAATAAAGGTAGTAAAATTATTCTGAACATGTAAACTTAATTTATTGATTTCAAATTTCGTTCAGCAAGCACCTTCCTGTCTCCTGACTACCTGGAGAAAACCCACAAATGCATGTGGAGAACATGAAGAARGACCTGGAGTCAAACCTGTGACCTTCTTGCTGTGRAGCRACACTAACCACTGCTCTCCTGCACACCCACACCACAAACCTCTGGTTCAGCCACAGCCCGGAGGTTCTGGGCCWGATTGAGATCTGGGGACCGTGGAGGCATTTGGTGTAAAACTGTAGCCCCAGTCTCAGCTGACAGCAGAGACACCTGCTGTGGTCTTCTGCTGCTGCAGACCATTTTCCCAGATTATAATCTGCAGACCTTGGTTTGTACTGAGCAGTTATTATCAGCTACTGTTGCCACCTTGAAGCAGTCTGACATMAACACAAAGCTGACCTTCACTGGTGTTCCCTCAGACCTTCCTCTGTAAACAGCTGCCTCGTGGTGCTTTATGTTCAACGTTATTCTGTAAATACATTTCAGTCAGTTGAGGCTTGTTGGTCTGTGACTGACAATAATACAGCCCAGAACAATCTGAGGGACATCTTYCAAAAAAACATCTTTGTTTAAAAGGGAACATATGATGTAAAATCCACTGTTTTACCTGTTAAATACATTTTGTGGACTTGAKKCTTTATGAGCCAGAAAAGATGAGTTTAGTCTCTCCTGGTGCTGTATAGATATCTTTATATTCTGTTTGGGTCAGATTTTTCAACCTGTTCAGTTTTCTCTATTTTCTATGATCCTTTACATCAGTTTTTGTGATGGACTTTCTAAATAAGGTCTGGAATTACCAACTACAATCTGGTGGTCTTCATTCTCTGGCTCTAACATGTAAGCCTGGATGAACAAGTCTTCTCTTGTTCACATCTTTTAATTAATTTATAAATAAAACGTTTCTGTGCAGCTATATAATCATAAAATCCTCTTTCAAACTGGAATGAACCAGTCAGGAAGCTGGAGGGGGGGTGGAGTTTCAAGCGCCTTATTTGGATTTAAAGAGACAGCCTCAAAACAAGTTGATTTAAATGCCTCGGAAAAGGGGCGGGGCTTGTGGAGTTAAAGCCGGGTTCCCACCAAACGTGTTTTGAGCAGTAAAAATGCGCCCAATGCCTCAAGTTGGATGCACTGAAACACGTTCGGTGTGAACGCAGCAGCAGACTAGATCAGGGGGCCTGCAACTTTTACGATCAAAAGAACCGTTTATGCTCCAAGTCTCACTAATAAAATGTGTCCGGAGCCGCAAAACAAGCTAGGAAATGTGATTAGCAAGTAGGGCTGCCACGATTAATCGATGACTAATCGATTATTAGAATAATCGTTTATAGCAGCCCTATTAGCAAGTGGTGGTTTGAGGGCCTTTTCGGGAACATTTACGGTCAGTGGAGGAGACGTTTTATT